AAGCAAAAACTTTTATACAATTTTCGGAAATTACTATTTTTTATACATCTTTTTATGCTATTTTTTCAATAGCTTGGGGAAGATAGTGGAAGTGAAAATATCGCACATCTTCAAGATGTACCTCCTTCTGGTACTCACAGAGGGCATTCACAATGGGCAAATCTGCCTCCAAGTGGAAGTACGAGTCACTCGTACGCGCCTTCCAAAGCTAACCTAACCGTTTATGATCTTGAAATATTTTTCAGATTTTTATTTTTTTTTAATATGAATCTTTAAACTTTGAAAAAATAAGAATTTTGCAATCTGTAAATTAAAAATAAACTTTAATTAAATAAAAAGCTTTATTTAGAGGTTTAAAAAATTTTATAATTATAGATAATAGTAGATCGGCGCTTAGGCAATATGTTAGTGTTTGGCCGATCTTCTCCTCCGATTTATGGCGCGCGCCTTGACGCTATCACACAAATGGGAGGGACCTACAGTTCTACGCCGACTCCGAACGTCGATTGTATTTTATGAGAAGCTTTTTCATGGCAGAAGTACACTCGGAGGTTTAGCGTTGCTGCTGATGGGCGACCGCTATTAGAAAAAAAATTGTTTATGTTTTATTAATTTGGATGTTGTCGATTTATTGTAAAGATTATAAAAACACCTTAAAAATTTTAAGATCTTCTGAGATCAGTTGGAGGTATTGTGTAAAAAAATGCGACAAAAATGTCTATAAGAGTTTGCTTTCTAAAATTCTGTATTTTTTTCGATGCTATATAAGTATTTTTTTCTTTAATCACTTTTAAATTAAGACACTTTTTGACGCATGGCATGAATGTTTTTGCGTGAAAAAGTGCAATAGCCATTCGAAAATTGCCGCAAACTAGTTACAGAATCTCACCCCAGAATAGGGTTGCCAGATTTTTTATGCGCGAAATCAGTACGTTACACTTTTTAATGCTAAACGAATCAGTACTTTTCAGTACATATTTTTTTTCAAAGCAAAATTATGAATGTAAGTATCAGATAATACTTTAAAACGCTAGAGTAGTTGTTTTTAATAATTATTTGGTGTATAAATAAAATATAGTTCATAAAAATAAAAGAGTTATTCATTTTAACATGAGTGTACATATCATTGTACACAGTATTTTACATTTATGACAATTTTTAATAGCACTAAAAAATTAAATATTTTTATCAAACTGTGGAAAAGTACCACTATTTAAGGACTTCATCTATAATTCCTCATTCATTTTTTCAACTACGCAAAAACTTTGAAAGACTAAGAATTCGCTAAAAAGCGTATCTAACTCAATGTCTTGTATGCAAAACTCTTTTACAATGTCAGTAAATTGTGAAAAAAGAATGTAAATTATAGGTAAAAGCCTATATCAAATTATCGCAACTGGTACGTAACGACCCGGCGATATGCCCATAAAACGATTGATCTTTTTTTTGTATTAATTTCATGGGCATATTAAACATTATCTAAAACATGTCAACTGTAATTAAATTATTTTCTTTTTACTTTTTCAGTACAGTTAAGGGAAGTTACAACGTTATGTAAAACCCTTAAGAAAATGCTAAAGTATTTTGTTTGAATTTGAAATTCAGCAAAATCAGTACAAATTTTGAAAAATCAGGACATTAGCGTACTGATTGAAGAAATGAATAAAATCAGTATAAGAATTAAAAAATAAAATACTGTACTGATAAAATCAGTACGTCTGGCAACCGTACACCAGAATCATTTTTGTGAGATACTCAAAAAGTAAACTTCGATGTTTAAATTTTTTATTTTTATTTTTGGCAAAACATCGTTATATGTATGATAAAAAAAGTGCATCCAAATCAAAAATGGTAGTTGATTTCTCTTGGAGTAACCCAAATGCATGGTTTAGCGGAATTCTAGCGATTTCTTATTATAAT